ACACACACACACACACACACACACACACACTCACACACAATTATTAGCCATTTTTAAAATTATTGAACTATACATATTTATTTTAGAATAAATAGTAATAACAACCATTTCAACCACCAAGAACAGAGAGTAAATCTCACTTGTCATGTGCGAAGGAACATTGCGGTAGGCGGACCGTTTAATAAATGTAAAAAGCTATATTATTTCCTATATATAAGCTACATTTTCTACAATTTATAACTTTAAAAATTACAGCATTAAGTCATGCTTAAACGCTATCAAAAGGGACAGTTAAGCATTTAGCAAATTAGAAAAATTTACTATTTAAAATATTATACAGCAAGTACAAGACATTTCAATATATAGAACAAATGCAACACGTTAATACCAAAGAAATCAATAAAAGTAGCAATAAATAGTGTCCCTCGTTCAAAGGAAGTGAACTGTGTGAAGACGGATGTGTGCTTAAACAGCATGTTTTGAAATGAACTCGTCCCTAAAGAAAACAAACTGCCTTTCTTCCGCCGTGTTTCACTCCCGCCCGAAAAAAGGCCAAAGGTTGAGTGATGACCAGCTTTGTGAGTCTAAAGCGTTTCCCATCTCCTTCCAATCTGCTCTTGTCTTCCTGTCAATAATAAGCTCTTCTCCAGAACTAACAGCCAATCCCCATGTTCATCATCTAAACTAAAATAAGACCCTTTAAACTCTGACCTCCTGACCCCTGAGAGACAGCAGAGGTCAAGGCAACAGCACAGCCGCGAGATGAAGGTGGACTGTGAACGAAACAACTCCACCCCTCAACATAAACACATCTTTCCTCCTTCCTTCCATCCCTCGTTCTTCCATCGTCTCTCCTTTAATGCAAGTTAAACAAAGGCCTTTGCACTATCTCTACGCCAACTATTCCAGAAACTGACCATTCAACACCAGCTGCCCAACACTATCAACAGATCCTCAAAAAAGCACCCAGACCGCCTCTAAAAGTACACGGCATAAACAGAACGTGCTCAATAAAAGCGGAAACCTGCCTTCAGCATATGATCTATTTATTTCGGTATAAGATCAGATGGCACTAGTCAAAACACGGCAGCATGCTTTCATCCCCCAGAGTAAGAGAGCGGATCTCTTATAGCCACAGAAGCAGAGCAGTAGGTTAGAGGAGCCAGCAAGTCTCTCAAGGTCTCTGTCCTGCCGCTTAAGTCTGGTTTATGCTTGATGCATTCAGTCTGGCGTGAAGCACCTCAGCGCCGGTGTCGGGGGTAACACATTACAGGTAACGCGAGTTACGTAATCAGATTACTTTTTTCAAGTAACTAGTAAAGTAACGCATTACTTTTTAATTTACAAGA